CCCTCTTCATCTTCTCTACCGTGACAGCTCCTTCACTCTGAACAAACTGCCTCACCAGCCTCATCACCAGATTCACATCATAAACTCCCGCCCCATCTCGCCCGGACACCAGCAGATCATCCAGCGTTGCCTGATCGAGCACTCCGCCAATCAGTTTCTCCAATCCGGCCCTGCAGTTCCTGCTCAGCCCGAAACCTGAAACGACCCTCAATACCCAAAACAAACTTCTGCAAGAAAATGAAGTTCTCGCCGTCAGAACCACCCCGGAAACCGCTGTCTCTGCCAGGGCATTGTACTCGGAAGCCCTTGACTTACTGTTATTGTTGTGCCGACCGGCGGATTTTTGAAGGTAGTGGAGAAGAAACCTCGTGAGGACTGTACTGTTGTTTTCGCCAGCAAATGAACCTAAGCTCTTCGCGAAATACTCTATCGTCTTTGGAGATAGAAGGGTCAAGTCCTCGAACCACCAAAATTTAGTGGCCGCGGGGGAACATCTGAACCTGGATGAAGTTTCCGGGGAGGAGGATGCCGAGGAGGATGAAGCGATGAGCTGGTTTATGTCCGAATTCTGAGCAATCTTTGCGAGAAGCAAGCACATGAGCTTCTTAACGAGACCGCATGAATCCGCAAACGAAAAGAATGGTTCCAGACTTTTGAGACAAGCCAGGACATCATTCCACGACCAATAGAACATTTGTTGAAGGAAGACTTCGGTCTGGTGCAAGAGATTGGAAGAGAACATCTTTTCGGTCATTCCAAGAAAGACTGCACAGCAATGGAGGAGAGACACATTTGAGACCGTGATCGTGGTCGCCCCGTTGTTGTAACAGAATCTGGAAACCAGTTCGAACCCATCAGGGCCTCCTGGAAAATCATCAATCTCTATCCCTGAGCTTCTGATTTGAGTCCTCTTCTTTTCTTGTCTGATCGTCCTTTTCAACTTCTCCGAGTATTTTGTAAGGATTTTCTGCAAGTTTATAGGCATTAATCAGTAAATGAAAGAATGTCGGTCAAGGAAAAATGTGCATAGAACCAATAACAGCTGTTGCTTAGTTATTTAGTTAGTTACCTGGTTAAGGAAAAATGTTTGCTGCCGATTGACAAGGATTTGCAGGTCGCAGAGGTCTGCCATGGCTGATTTGCATTGGATTACATCAACCAAGAATTGAATGAAGAAGCTTTTATCAGTGCTAGTCTGGCTTCAAGATGAATGGAAAAAATGGTCAAGAATCAGGATGCGCTGGCTGAGGATGTCCATGTGAAACCATACAAAACCAATATTTATAATACTAGGTGTGTAGAGCAGTACTAGGTGTAGTTTTGGACCAACTTCAGTAATAATTTTTGAGGGGGGCATCACGGGTTAAGCTGTTTTTGTTTTATTGCAGCCACCATTTGTTTTTTTTTTTTTTTCTCATAATAATAGAGAAAAAGGACTTGAATTCCACCCCACCCCCCCCCCCCCTTTTCTTGTTTTTTGGTAGATGCAGAAAATATTGCAGAGACATATAACTTACATGTAGTAATAGTTATTAAGATTGAGCTTGAATGCTCTAACAACAACAATTATTTCTTGAGATTGACAAGGACTTCATAGTTGTTGCATGAAAGGTGGGTCGAACAATTGGAAACTGAGGGAACGAATACTTATTGCTGTGAGCTACCAATTTGGACGGCTTTGCACTATCATTTTGAACCAGCTACGTACTACTGTGGACACTACACAACTCAGTTAAGCCATAATGAATTTGAGTTCAAAATTCCTGGTGAAAAAAGAGACGGGACTACCTATTCTTCTTTGCACAAAGTTGACTAGAACTAGAAGGAGTAGTTCAAGAGAAGCACAGAAAATAAGAACAGTCAATGGTGAGGCCTTAATTGAAACTTGTGCAATATTTTGATCCATCACTGTGGCAATTTTCATAGCAGTGGAGAGCATGGCATGCAGTGGAGCATCATGGAGGCAGATTGCAGTGACCTTCAAAGTGTGCTGCTGCTACCTTTCATTTCATTACATGCTAACCACTTTTGTTAGTGCTTTCTAGCCAGCAGCAGGCAGATGAGTTTTTTGAACCTGCAAAATTTGTGAAACATCAAATCTCATTTAACTAAAAGAGAATGAAATTTGTAGAACAAGGATGTGATTTTCATAATACAAAGAGGGTTTTTTTTTTTTTTCTTTTTTGGTATGAAATCTACACTTTTGTCTACATCAAAAGCACATTTTGTCTACATCAAAAGCACATTTTGTATAAAATTCTGAAGTTGTAACAATCAGTGGTAAATTTTTATATAGTTGTTGTGCACGTTTGCTTCTCATGAAAGCACAAGCCAGAATAACACAATTTTTTCATATGTACCATCTGAACGTTGATTAAGTATAAATCCCACGTTGGAACACTGAATACAAAAGAGAAAACCCAGGAGTTTTGTCTTCTGTAGAATGTGACACCAATAGAGCCAAGGAACCGTGTAGCTTTCAGTACGTTGGAATTCCCTTGTCGATGGGGCATTACAGGCTTGTTTATCCAACATGTGAGAAAAGGGGCCCCCAGGAAGGCAGAACGAGAGAGAGAGAGAGAGACTAGAGGTTTTCGTCAATCAATCATTCCCTTGGTTTCTTGTTCTGTTGCTCAGGCTTAATTATCCTGTATGGTAGTAGTTTATTTTTAAGGACAATGGTTGGGCTCAAAGTGGAAATTGGATATCGATTCATTTTCAATTCGGATTTTATTATGATTACGGTTTCGATTTCTTCAGATTACGATTATGATTCTTTTAATTATGTTTAAACTCTTGTTATTATAAAATTGATTTTAAGAAAATATGACAATGAATGTAGGAAGAGATAAGAACTTTATTACAGTACCATATGCAAGGAAAAAGAAAAAATGATGCAAATTTTATGAAAAATATCTCATTGTTGATTAGATTGGATTGATTTTGAATTTAGACTAATATGGGGTCTAGACTTACTAGTGGGATGACACAATTGGTTGTTGGGTTAGGATTGGAGTTTGGTACTGACTATTGATATTGAGTTTTAAACTGGCCAAATATTTAGGTAACAAGTATTTTCTTTTAAAGAAAAGACAGTTTGAACTGGTTCTAAACCGCTGGTTTTGGTTCCAATTCAAATTTTTGGTAAACTTGAACTTGAACCTTTAGTCATGATTAAAGTTCCGGTCCGATTTCTATTCAACAAACCGTCAGTTCGATTCCGGTTTAAACCTAAACTCTGACCACTTCTATCCCAAAATGATGAAGAAAAGTGAGCTGCTAACGGTGCAAAACCAAGCATCATGGGGTAATGAAAATAATAAAGATCAAGTGAGTCGTTTTAGACGTACATTGGAGACTTGTTAGTGTTAAAATGGGAAATGGCCTTGTATATTGATAAAAGGATTTGGTAATGGGTACCCTTAAAGAGAGTTTTTTTTTTCCCTGCAAGAGTCTAATTAATTTTGAAAAATATCTGATATTAGAGATGTAATAATTGTGGATATGCGTATTCACACGATAAGTTAGTTATGTATAACTTTGGAGGTGTAATAATTGTGAATATGTGCATTCATATGACAAATTAGTTACGCGTGAATTAGGTGCTTTAACAGATGCCTCATTAGAGAAATGGTTAATGAAAATAGTGCTCAAATACGGAAGTACAAGAGGTCTAACTTATATATGAATTGGGAATCAAGGAAAAAAAATACTAAAACAAAATATAAGCACAATCATCTATCTAAGGAAATGATATACACAATTAATCAATTAAGATTGGCAATCCACAAACAACTCTCTAACTTCTACACTTACTAACAACTAGCTAGTAATAAGTTAGGGAGACACCACATGGCCTCCCTCCCATGAATTTTATTTGTTTTGTTTTTCTAATAAAGTTTCTTTTAAGTTTTTTTAGTGAGTTTTTATTTCTCCTAGGGATTCATAGTGAGAATTTTCTAGAGATTTTGTGTTTTTTTTCTTATTTTATTGTCAGATCTAAATTTATTTCAGATCTGGTTGTCAAATTTGAAATGTTTTATCTAGTGCATGTTTAACCTATCATTAGAGTAATGATGTAAATGAAATCGTGTTGGACAATTTCTAGCAATCTATTAATAAAATTTGCTTTTATATATATAAAAAAACAACTAGTAATAGGTTACATGTTTTGCACGTGATTATAGTATCATAAAATATAATATTTTACTGCTAAAATTGTTTTTTTTTTTATAAAGCTCTATTGTTAATATCATAATTTAATATTTGCATATTTTCCATCTTCTTATTTTCTTAATTTTTCATCTTCTTTAACCAATTGTTCTTAAAATTGTTATTTTAAATTGAAAGAGACAAGTTTTTTTTACTCATTTGTTAAGATTTCTTAGAGATTTCATTTTAATTTATAGATCTAAAATTTTGTGAATTTTTTTAACTTTTCAAATGTTTTACCGGTAATCTTTCACTTAAATCACAATGTTAGAGTTTTTATACACAAAACGATTTGTTGGATAGAGTATTATTTGAAATAATTATTGTAACACTTTTTGTGATGTGATGTATGTGAAATAAAAAAGTGATTGAAAATATAAAAAGGTGGATTGGAAAATGTGTTTATGATGTAAGTGAAATATTATTTGGAATAATTTGCTATCCAAACACTCCTAGATGAGAAAATTAAATATACATCTCAAGCGTGGGAGCAACAAGTACAATTATAAATACTTATAAAGTAAAGTTTAAAATATAATATCAAAATCTAGAGAGGCATTAGGGTTAATGTATTTGCTTATATTATTTTTTATAATTCAAGACACTTGTTATGCTATTCTTTTACTCCCAATATCCCTTCCACCATACACTACAAATATGATTTAATCCATTTTTCCATGGGAAAATCATTAACCAGGCAGAGTTCAAATATGTATTTTTTTTTGAAGCAAAAGTAAAATTCATAATGGATTTTCTAATGAGAAATGGTGGATAGTAGCTAGGGGTACTGAGAAATGGTGGTTTTGGTGTTCTTTATGAGATAGTTCATGTTCTTGGAAAGGTCATGGTGTTATTGTGTTGCATTTTAGTCCACCAAAATACTCAATTGAGAAAAAAAGTGATTGAATGTTGAGAAAAGGGTACTTACAATTGTTCCATTACCAAGTTGCTTGATATTTAGATAGGAATATCTGATCTAAGTATGTATGGACCAAGTGTTCCAATATCTAAGTATTAGATTCCATATATATGGTTGGTTCATGGTTGAGAAAGAAAAAGTGATGGTGTGGGGGCAAAAATGTCCCAGAAAAGTGTGAGGACATGGCTGGCACAGTACAAGATATTGGGAGGGAGATGGGAAGCAGTTGTTATAGCATATTACAGAAGCCAAAAGCAGTTGTATATATACATGGTGATATATATATATATACATACATATCATATGAGGAGGAGTCAAAACTTGCAAAACTTGCAAGGCTGATCCTACATTTGATTTGTTGTATGAATCTGCCAGTGTACAGACATATATAGCAGTGTACCTATGACCTCCTCCTCCATGTTGACAATGACATGTCCATCTTCAACAACATTAACAGCAACAACTAGCAGAGCTAGAACTAGTCTGCTGCTGCAACTCAAATTGGGTTGTCATCATTGGTCTCCGTCCAGGTCCAGGTCGTGGACGTGTCTCAGATATGGACATGGACGTGGATATATTGGAGGAGAAGGAGGAGGAGGCGGGTCTCTACTTGGTATGGCAGCCCGCCGGCACAATGTTAGCAAAAATGGGGCTGTGCGGGGAATCTCTATGTTCCTCAACACCAGACCAAAACCGGTGGTTAAGGATGGAGTTCTGAGCTTTAATGGGACGGAAGCACTCAAGGACATGCCCCATAACATTGTCATTAAGCCCTGGTACGACTCATCATCTGCAGCATTCTTGGGTGCTGCTTTCACTGATGAATCTGAATCCTCCTCCTCCACTTCTCGACTTGTCTTCAAACTTGGAGTCATACGGTACTACCCTCCTCCTCCTCTATCGTCTCCTTGCACCCTTTCCATTTTTTTTTTTTTTTTAAATCTAGTATTAGCATTCTTCTTGTAGATAGATGTGGGAACTCTCTGCTTTCTTTCTGTCATGTATGCATGAAGTCTGGGCATTGTGGGAAGAGGGGTAGGAGCGATTTTCAGCACAACCGTTCAGGAAAGTATAATTGGAAAGCACATTAAACAATGACTAAAAGAAATCAGAATGTTCTGTTTAATCTCCACATTTTCTATTACTCCTATCTATCTTGGTCCGGAACATTGTTGTCAAAATTCTCTCAGATTTGATCCTTTCAGTTAAAATTACAAGTACCTGGCAGTTTCCTCGTCTGTAATTTGATTGCAATAATGTCTCAGATGTTTAGTTTGTTCCTGGCAGGGAAACCCGATTGTTGTGTTTGTTTAGATTCAAGATTTGGTGGTCCATTCCACGAGTAGGGAATTCAGCAAGTGACATTCCTGTTGAAACTCAAATGTTACTGCTGGAAGCTCCCCATGACCACTCAGCTTCTTCTGATGGAGCCACTGCCTACATTCTCTTCTTGCCTTTGTTAGATGGTGAAACCAGAAGCAGCTTGCAGGGAAACTCTGCTGACGAGCTTCAAGTTTGTGTTGAAACTGGTTAACTTTCCCCCCCCCCTACTATATACCAATGCCTATTATTTGTAACAGATCATTCCTGCTTAGGACGGACATTCATCTGTTCTACTACATCATCAAGACATCCCCTTGATATGTTCTGCTGAGTGATACTCCTACATAACCTTCCCTCCTTAAACAAAATCCCACCTAATTTTGCAGGTGATCCTGCTTTACTTGCATCAGAGTCTACTAAAGCCGTGTTTGTTAACTGCGGAGGCAATCCCTTTGATTTGATGAAAGAATCTATGAAGTAGGTGGGCCTCTGTGTTGCGGAAGCCCTACCAAAGTTAAGGTATAACGAGTAAATTATTGTACCTAAAATTGCAAAATGGTAATTCCCAGGAAATATTTGGTGAGGCACACTGGCCTGCTTAAGTACCAATTTCCTAGACAGAATCACCTATATATGCACTTAATTGCACAATAACTCACTACAAATATACCTACAAATATAGCTACTAAATAGACAATAAAATAGAACACCAGAATTTAACGAGGTTCGGCTAATTTGCCTACGTCCTCGGACACTACCGACAATTTAATATTTCACTAGAAGAAATATTACAAAGAGAGAGAAGAAAGCAAGTTATTGGCTCTTGCTTGGTGTACTTGAATTGGTTTGTTTGAGAGCTATTTATAGTTCTCAAACAACCTCTCAAATGTTAAACTTAACCGATGTGGGATTTAGAAATTTAGGCCAAAGAATTCAAAGTCCTCAATTTTGGCTTGAAAAAGTCATCAATTGAGGCTTGGCTTTGAATTCAACAAATCTCCACCTTGGCATAATTTCTAATCCCACCAAAAATACAAATTTTTTTTCCCTCAAATTCGGTGGTGTCTTCAAATGCGTTGTCAAGCGCCAATCTTCAAGTCGTGCACAACATTTATCAAATTCAAACAATGTTGGAATTTGATAGTTGTCACAACCTTCGTAAGCATATCAGCAGGATTCTCCTTGGTCTGAATCTTTTGAAGTAGTATCGTACTATCTTCCAAAATCTTCCTCACAAAATGATACCGTACGTCGATATGCTTCGTCCTTGCATGATAAACTTGGTTCTTTGCTAAATGAATAGCACTCTGACTATCACAATGAACTTTGATAGACTTCTGTCCAATTTCCAATTCATCAAGCAATCCATGAAGCCAAATTGCTTCCTTAACAGCTTCCGTAACTGCCATATACTCCGCCTCTGTAGTAGACGAAGCAACTGTTGACTGTAAGGTAGACCTCCAACTGACTGGTGCCTTAGCAAGTGTAAAAACATACCCAGTCGTTGATCGACGTGTATCTTGATCTCCTGCGTAGTCGGAATCACAATATCCAACTACGCCTTGACCAATCTTCTCATCCCGCTCAAATACTAATCCAACATCTACGGTGTTCAAAATATACCGTAAAATCCATTTCACAGCTTGCCAATGCTCCTTGCCAGGATCATGCATGTACCTGCTCACAACTCCAACTGCTTGTGAAATGTCGGGCCTTGTACACACCATAGCATACATCAAGCTACCCACCGCATTTGCATACGGTACCTTTGCCATATATTCTCGTTCTGCATCATTCTTTGGAGATAACGATGCACTAAACTTGAAATGAGGAGCAAGTGGAGTACTAACAGGTTTAGTCTTTTCATTCATACCAAACCTCTTTAATACTTTACTAAGATACTCTTTCTGTGTCAAATAAAGCCTCCCCAATCTTCTATCTCTACTTATCTCCATGCCGAGAATTTTCTTGGCTTCGCCGAGATCCTTCATTTCAAACTCCCGACTCAAATGAGATTTCAATTTTTCAATCTCACCTTGATCCTTGGAAGCTATCAACATATCATCAACATAAAGAAGAAGATATATGTAGGATCCATCTCGTAGCTTGCGCAAATATACACAATCATCATATTTGCTTCTTGTGTACCTTTGCCCCATCATAAACTTGTCAAATCGCTTATACCACTGTCTTGGAGACTGCTTCAATCCATACAACGATTTGTCAAGCTTGCATACCATCTTTTCTTTACCAGCAACTTTGAATCCTTCTGGCTGAGTCATGTAGATTTCCTCTTCCAAGTCACCATGTAAAAACGCAGTTTTTACATCTAATTGGACAAGTTCCAGATCCAATTGTGCTACCAAAGCCAATAAAATTCTGATGGAGGAATGTTTCACGACTGGAGAAAACACTTCGTTGTAATCAATTCCCTCCTTCTGAGCGTAGCCTTTAGCCACCAATCTTGCTTTGTAGCGAACACCAGACTTGTCAGGAAATCCTTCCTTCTTTGCATATACCCACTTGCATCCGATTGCCTTCTTTCCCTTTGGAAGACTGGTTAGCCTCCATGTTTGATTCTTATGAAGGGAATGTACTTCTTCATCCATTGCAATCCTCCACTTTTCTTTATCCGAACTTTGAGCTGCTTCATTGAAAGTGGCAGGAATATCAACATTTATGGTTGGGGATGCATAGGCCACTATATCAGCAAAACGAGCAGGTTTTCTGATTGTCCTCTTTGGCCTACTGGTTGCAATTGATTCATGTTGCTGTGAAAGTTCTTCAACTGGAACATTTTCTTCAGTTGATTCTTCTTCTACCATAGGAGTCCTTTCATCTACTCCGATATCCACTGCTGGTCTGATAATGCTTCTTTCAAACTCCATCTGCTTAGGAGTGCTCTCCACCTGTTGGGGAGTACTATCATTCTGCTGTACATCTACCTTTGTTAACATGGTAGATTCATCAAAGGTGACATCCCTGCTGAAAACTATCTTTTTCGTTTCGGGACACCAAAGGCGATAACCTTTAATGCTTGTTGTGATCCCCATAAAGAGCGCATTCTTCGCCCTTGGATCCAACTTTGATTCTTTAACATGATAATATGCAGTAGAACCAAACACATGTAAGGAATCATAATCTGTAGCAGGTTTTCCCGACCATTTCTCTAATGGCGTTTTGCCGCCAATAGCAGTTGATGGTAAGCGATTAACGAGGTGATTTGCATATGCTAAGGCCTCAGCCCAAAATTGTCTGCCCAACTCAGCATTGGACAACATACACCGAACTTTCTCCACCAATGTCCGGTTCATACGCTCTGCCACCCCGTTTTGCTGTGGTGTATCTCTGACTGTGAAGTGCCGAACAATGCCTTCATTTTCACAGACCTCCATGAACGGATCACTAGTGTATTCACCTCCGTTGTCTGTTCGAAGGCGTTTGATCTTTCTTTCTGTTTGAGTTTCCACCATCTTTTTCCACTTGATGAAAATTCCCAATACTTCACTTTTCGCCTTCATAGTATACACCCATACTCTTCGAGAGAAGTCATCGACAAAGGTAACAAAATAATTCTTGCCTCCCAAAGAAGTTGTTTTGGAAGGTCCCCACACATCAGAGTGCACATAATCCAAAATACCCTTGGTATCGTGAATTGCAGTGCCAAATTTTACCCTTGTCTGCTTTCCTTTGACACAATGCTCGCAAAAATCTAACTTGCAAACACTGGCTCCTTTTAATAGTCCTTGATTCATCAGAAGATTCAAAGATTTTTCTCCGGCATGCCCTAAGCGCATATGCCATAATCTGGTTACTTTCAATTCTCGATCATCACTGGAAGCCACGGCCGCTACTCCAACAACTGCATTACCTTGATAGTAATACAAGTTATTATTTTTCCGGATTCCTTTCACCAGCACCAATGCACCTGAAATGATTTTCATCACTCCATTATATGCCGACACCTTGTAGCCCATTGATTCTAGTACTCCCACAGAAATGAGGTTCTTTTTCAATTCTGGCAATATCGGACATCAGTTAGAATCTTAATTGATCCATCCTGATTCCTCAGCCGAATTGAACCAACCCCATTTGTTGCTAATGTGGTCTCATCTGCCGTGTAAACGACTCCACCTTCTTTTTCCTTGAAATCAAAGAACCATTCTCTATTGGACGTCATATGATGGCTACAACCTGAGTCCAATAGCCATGTACTAGAATGACCAGTAGGCATGACAGCTAATGAAAAATCTGAGTTTTGATCAATGCACTCAGATACATTTGAATCCGCAACAGCTTTTTCTTTGTCAGGTCTACCCTTCAGTTTTGGACAGTCCTTCTTCCAGTGCCCTTTCTCTCTGCAAAAGGCACACTCATCTTTACTTAGTCTGGCTCTTGACTTGGATCTTCTTCTCGTCCCCTTTCTCTGGTTTTGTGAGCGTCCTCTAGTTACCAGAGCTTCTACTGCTCCATCTCTGCTATTTTGCTTGTCTTTTCTTCTGAGCTCATAGCTGTACAGGGCAGAGCTAACTTCACTGAGGGACACCTCAGTTTTCCCATGGAGTAGAGTTGTTTCAAGATGCTCAAACTCCTCAGGAAGAGATCCCAACAACATGAGAGCCAAATCTTCGTCTTCAAATGTCACATCTAAATTCATCAGATCAGTGATTAACTGATTGAAATTAGTGATGTGATCACTTAGAGTTGTGCCAGGAACATAAGTGAAGCGAAATAAACGCTTCTTCATGTTGAGCCTGTTCTGACAATTTTTCTTCAAGAACTTCTCCTCCAATCCAGTCCATAATTTATTTGCAGAGGTTTCTTTTGAGAACACATATTTTTGTTCCCTTGAAAGACACGATCGAATTGTACCACACGCTAAACGATTTAGCGTCCTCCATTCCTTCTCTTCAATCTCTTCTGGTTTCTCTTTTTCGATGGCAATGTCTAGACCTTGATTAAAGAGCGCGTCTAGAATCTCACTTTGCCACATGCCGAAATGACCGGTACCATCAAATGTCTCCACATTTAATTTTGTATTCGTCATAACATTTCTCGCCATAATAGATAATGACGAGCTTGTTGATGCTTGCATTGTAGATGAAGATCTACTTTCGGCCATCTCTACAAATTATATTTAGTAGCTCCTAAATGTAGAGTAACAATAGCCCAAGAAATCTTTTCTGATGTGGAAGATCAGACCATGCTGCAACCACAGAGCATACTAAGAAACCTCGAGCTCTGATACCAATTGTTGCGGAAGCCCTACCAAAGTTAAGGTATAACGAGTAAATTATTGTACCTAAAATTGCAAAATGGTAATTCCCAGGAAATATTTGGTGAGGCACACTGGCCTGCTTAAGTACCAATTTCCTAGACAGAATCACCTATATATGCACTTAATTGCACAATAACTCACTACAAATATACCTACAAATATAGCTACTAAATAGACAATAAAATAGAACACCAGAATTTAACGAGGTTCGGCTAATTTGCCTACGTCCTCGGACACTACCGACAATTTAATATTTCACTAGAAGAAATATTACAAAGAGAGAGAAGAAAGCAAGTTATTGGCTCTTGCTTGGTGTACTTGAATTGGTTTGTTTGAGAGCTATTTATAGTTCTCAAACAACCTCTCAAATGTTAAACTTAACCGATGTGGGATTTAGAAATTTAGGCCAAAGAATTCAAAGTCCTCAATTTTGGCTTGAAAAAGTCATCAATTGAGGCTTGGCTTTGAATTCAACACTCTGAGCATTCTATCTATATATATATTACTGGAATTGCTTGAAAAAACTTCAAAGCTTTCTTCGCTTTGTAGCCCATTAGCCAGAAAACTATACACTACTATCATATATGCAATATAAGATGATGATTTCTAAGAAGAACGCCTCGCAAAATGTCTTTGATTTCCATTTTGACTTGGATTTACCTACTTTAGTACCATGCATAAAAGTATCCAAATTTTTGATTCTGATTTTACTTCCAAATACGCCCAGGATCCTGCAGACGTACAGCGGAACATTTGCTCTGCGGGAGACCAAACAGGCAAGTAGCAGTGTGGCCACACTGAGCAGAGTCTTGAGTTATATTGTTGAGATAACGCCTATTAAGAAATAAAAATCTCCTCTCTCTCTTACTTCAGATGCCTGGAATGCTAGATTGGTTTGGTTGGTGTACATGGGATGCATTCTACCATGATGTCAATCCTCAGGGAATCAAAGATGGGCTAAGCAGGTATATCTCCTCCAGTTTTACATATTCCCAGTGCTTTCCTTTTCAATTGATTCTTCTTCCTCAAAACCTTGACTTATGGACAAGATGACCATAAGCTGCTTGTTGTTTATTTTATTTAAACAGAAATGATTCAGGTTTCTGTTGTATCCAAAAAAATACTGCCCTCGAAAATTTGTGAGATGAACAGCTCTATGTATTAGCAAGGGCTAGCTATAAAGACTTCAGTATCACAAATGAGTTACTATTTTTGTCACCATGTTGAAAATTGTATCCAAGAATAGGAAAAAGGTTGAAGGATTAGCCTCACATTTCCAGTTTCTTTTTCTATGTCTATGTCTTCTTTCTGTTACTTCTTCAAAATCAGTATTCTTCATACTCCCATCTCATATACTCTCAAACAAAAATCAGCTTGTCAAAAGGTGGCACTCCTGCTAGATTTCTTATAATTGATGATGGGTGGCAAGACACGACCAATGAATTTCAGAAAGAAGAAGAGCCTTTTGTTGAAGGGTCTCAGTAAGTCTCCTCATTCTATTCCTTGCAGTTCGGGGTTCATAATATATAGTTTTATGAAATTCTGTATATCATCAATGCAGGTTCGGTGCCAGGTTAATGAGCATTAGAGAGAACATGAAGTTCCGGAAGGCATCAAGTAAGGCTTCCAGCGCCCCGAATAGTCTCAAGGAATTCATTTCAGATATAAAGAGTACTTTTGGCCTCAAGTAACTAGCCTCCCTTTCCCTTGCTTTCTGTTTTTTTCCTCTCTTTCTTGATCTAAATTAGCACAGTAGAGGTTGAAACAAGCAAAAAGGAAAGACTGATTCACTTCTTTCATCATAAACTCCGCCATCTACATGTATCTAAGTAATGAATCTCTGAGTCTATTGCTTATTTGAGTGTAGGATGAGTTTAGATTTGTTATGATCGTATCTTCTCGCCCAGGTATGTCTACGTATGGCATGCACTGATGGGATACTGGGGTGGGCTCCATTTAGATGCTCCAGGGACACAGAAGTATAATCCAACGCTGAAGTACCCAGTACAATCACCTGGAAATCTTGCACATAAAAGGGACATCGCTATGGACTCCATGGAAAAGTACGGTGTTGGCACCATTGATCCTGCCAGAATTTTTGAATTTTATGATGATCTACATAGATATATTGCATCACAAGGAGTAGATGGAGTTAAGGTTGATGTGCAGAATATCCTCGAAACAGTAGCCACTGGTTCAGGAGGCCGGGTTTCGCTTACTAAACATTTCCAACAAGCCTTGGAGGAGTCCATTGCCAGGAACTTCCAAGATAATGGCATAATCTGCTGCATGGGTCAGAGTACAGATTCTATTTACAAGTAATAAACTCATTACCTGATGACATTCTTTGGACAATACTTTTTATGACTTAGGCTTAAGAATATGGTAAATCTTTCCTACACTAATGAGTAATTACAGGTAGATTGTAAACTTTTGCTCTGAGATCACTAAGGATGAAGAGCTTATTTTCTTGGGCTGCAATCTTTAAACTGATGCTTGAAAGTCCATTTTCTTCTAGCTCTCCAACAGTTATTAACACTTTTGTGGCATCTGAACCGCTGCAGCTCAAAGAAAAGTGCCATCACGCGTGCATCTGATGATTATTACCCCAAGAATCCCAACACGCAAACACTCCACATAGCTGCTGTAGCTTATAACAGTATATTTTTTGGTGAAGTAGTTGTGCCAGATTGGGACATGTTCTATGTGAGAAGCTGTCACGCATTATCATTAATAAATTTCTTGCAAGTCTCAACTAAGGTTTGTGAGTTTAATTCTATTACCAATGACTTGCAGAGCCGCCATAATGCTGCCGAATATCACGCGATTGCTCGAGCTGTTGGAGGATGTGGAGTTTATGTAAGGTAAAACTTCCTAATTCGGGGACACACAATCTGAAGCCCAAGAGATGAAGTATCCATGTGCTATCTGATATCATCTCAAGAAGAATGCCTTTTGAAATAGTACAATATGAAATCTAAATGTGATCTATAAAGCAATGTGTCCTTGAGATGATCTCTAATGATGAGTTTAATTTATAAGGCTAAACTGTTAAAATGCTAGGATTGGTGCAGCAAAAAAAGGAACCATGAAATTCGAATCCTTAAATTTGTTTTCTCGGATGATTAAATTGGCATGGTGCAGAGTCAGGCAGAAACTTATACTAGCATTATGCATATACATCTTCACTCGTCAAGGATCATATACTACAATAGGAACACAGAAAAGTATACTTCCCCTGGATCGAAGTCCATGTAGTTTTGAGCTTTAAATTCAGTTTAAGAGGATGACAGCAAGTAATAAAAATCATTGGGTATGTGCAACCAATTTTTGTCATCTGGCTTATACAGCTTCTGCTGTTTTGAACCAAAGGAAAAAAGTCATTTCCACAGTTTAGAACTTTTGACATTTACTACAAGTTATCTAGTTTATCTGACTTCCTTTAAAGGAAGGTTTGAAGTGCAGTTGTTTAAAATCTTCAATTTGTGCTTTGCAAATTGCCTGGTATTGCATTGTCTTCAACTGAGATGATGGACAAGAATGACATTCTGAGATTGCAATAGCTATTTCTTCAACTTCACCTCTTAAACAGTGTCATGTAGTTTATAGCAGCCTCATCCATACGCGCTGAGTGCTGATTTCTATCTTTCGAAACTTATGACTAATTTGCTGCAATGACTTCTAAAAACCAGCATAGTACCCTGGTCTGGAGTTTGATTCATGCATTAGATATCTTGATTTTCCTGCTAAATTATCTGCCTATGCTGACAAGAAATATAAAATTACAAAGTTCATTTTCGCACAGAAGCTAGTACCTTATCGTTCTTTAGTTTCCTAATTTATTTATATCTTTGAATTGTCTCGTTTTGAGCACAATCCTTTCTTTATCTTTGTTCTTGACAGTGATCAACCTGGTCAGCATGACTTCAACATACTACGAAGACTCGTGCTTCCTGATGGATCAGTGTTGAGAGCTAAGTACCCTGGGAGGCCTTCAAGGGATTGCCTATTTTGTGATCCAGTTATGGATGGGAAAAGGTAAAAGTTTCCATCAGTTTATTTGGATTTTTTTAATCTGGAGGTATTTCAAATTCTGACTTGCCTGCATACCATTTAAATTCAAGCCTTCTGAAGATATGGAACCTTAACAAGTGTACTGGAGTGATTGGCATATTTAACTGCCAAGGAGCTGGTAGCTGGCCTGGCTTGGAAGACAGTCCTAAGATGAACAGTCCTGAGATATCAGGAAAAATCTCTCCATCTGATGACATTGACTATTTTGAGGAGGTTTCAGGAAAGTCATGGAAAGGAGATTGTGCAGTCTTCTCCTTCAAATCAGGTAATACAAATCTATTGAGTTAACAACTGTGGAAGTTCTTGGATGTTCAATCTTCTCAAATCACTATAGATAAAAAGGAAAACACGAATTACAGAAACCTTTCTTGACTTGTTACATATAATCTGGTGATAAAAATGAAACATCTATACAGTCTAGTGACATATTTAGTGCTGCTTCAGCATCACTCTTTCGGCTTGCAAAGCATGGAAAGCTCGACATCACCTTAGGGACATTGCAGTGTGACATCTTTTCTGTTTCACCTATCAAGGTTCTGCCATCTTATCCCTGCTTCAGTTTCTCTCTTCTTCCTGTGGATGAATGTATCATCATGACCATCACTTTTTCTTTTTGTTCAGGTTTATGGTAAGAAGGTTGAGTTTGCACCGATCGGTTTGATCAACATGTACAATTCTGGAGGGGCTACTGATGCAATTGAAGTCATTACCGAGTTTTCTGATTTTGGCATAAGAATCAAAGGAAGAGGTCCAGGTATTTTTGGAGCATATTCCAATCTGAAACCGAAGTCTTGCTCCATGAATTTGATGGATGAGGGATTTGAATTTAGAAGTGAAGATTGCCTTTTGACCATTCCTATTCCCAGCGGTACAGATACGTGGGAAGTTGCAGTTTACTATTAAGGCCTCAGAGTCCACCTGAATACATTCCCAGTTACAGAAATTATAGGAAACAGTAACCACTAGTGGTAAATTACAATTCATTTAGGGCTAATGGGGTTTGGGATTCTCCCCCCCCCCCCCCCACCCACTAAAAAAATATATATATGTATATAATTATATATAATATTTAATTTAATTAGTTATAAACTTATGATAATGATATATTATTAGTTATATGTATTATATAATGTCTATTAGTAAATGTAATATAATTGATATTATCAATTATATTAATAGAAATTATGAATTAGTTATACTAAATTTACTAATACATTTATATTAAATTTCTAATTACACTTAATACAATAACACTTTTTTCTCAAAAAAAAAAAGCACAAGCACAATAATGAATTAGTGATTATATTGATGCCAAAAGTGAAAATTTGACTACTTTAGTTGTATTTATTTCATCATATTAGATTGTATTCAAATAATTTTTATTTGATTGTTTTTATGTGTTTCAATTATAAAATTACAATAAATAATAATTTGGTGATGTATTGATATTTTAATACTTAATTATTTGTTAAAATTTAATTATAATAAAATTATATAATAAATTTTTATTAACCGCGGAAGCAGGGTGGGGCATGAAGCAGGGCCGGGGCGGGGGCGGGATCCCCCGCCTCAACCCCGCCCCCGTTGCCATCCTTAAGCACAGCAGCAGAGGAAAGCAGTTGCGAGTACTGATCAAATTCTTTAAAGCGTACCATTGGAATGTTCATCAAGTATAGAATTCCATGTTGGTACACTCCAATACAAAGTAAAAACCTGAAGAATTTGTTCGCTGTATGCGGCGACGGCTCTGTAGAGCCAAGAATCCAACAGCTTTTTGGTATATTGGAATGACTTATACATCATTGGTCCGGTGGTGGCCACCACCTAGCTTGGTGGTGTGGGAGACAAGGTTTGAACTCTTAATTGTCACATTTAAGTGGTTTGCTTCAAAAAATCCAAGCGGGTGTGTTGTGCACCCGTTTGATTCGGTGGTGGTTCAGTCCCCTCCGGATTATCCCTGGGCCTCCTTAGGTCCGCCCCCTCCCCCTTAGTGTAGAATAGATTAGGTTATACAACAGTTGTCGTCTTCGGAGAAAAAAAAAGAATGACTTATACATCATTGGGAAAATTTTTATTCATCATCAGTACATTCCAACTTAGAATGAGAAATTTCTTTGTCGTTGTCATCTTTTATGGATCATATGATCCAGCTAATGGTGTAGCAGGAGTAATAAAGAGGTAATAGTAATGGATCCAGGAAGAAAATTCATTCAGCAGAAATTGGAGAAAGTCCATGACCAATCAGCCTTGCAATTTGGAGGCATTGGCTCGTTTGAATGCTTTCGTTTGGGCGTAGCATCTCTGTTTTAAGTTTTAACATCTGCATTGGTGGAGACAGATTGTCAAACTCTGTTGTCACAGATAAAAGCATCACTTTTTAACAAAAATTTGTGCATGATATGACTAAAACGCTGCCCATGTTTCCTCTAGTAGACGATCTTATACATATCTGTACAATTCATGTGAGCATGAAGTTGATCAATTCTAATTCTTTGAGCAGTGGAAAAACCATGCGGTAAAACCTATGTCAATTGATCATTTTCTCTCTAAATTCAGTTTTCGAGGACTCAATTTCATGAGATTTGAAAGTAAACTTGCTTTCTAACGTTCAATTTGGACATAGCAAACTTTGCTAATCAAACGTTTGAAAATTGTTGGATAGTTTTCGACTTTTAGAAAAATCAATCGTTCTTAAGTTTTGAGAGAAAGAAAGACCAACAAAAAAGTCTCAAGTAAGTCCCAATTAGACGTGTATTTTAAATGGATATCATTGAATATATTTTCAGTTAGATCTAGTCTTGTATTTTACATACCCATCCCGTCCAAATTGAAAATCTGGGCATGAGAGCCCATTGCCATTGGGTGCTGAGACTTTTTGCCACCTCCAGCTCAAATGTAAATGGGGAACTTTGGAGATTAGAGCGAGTGAAGAACAGAACATCATTCCGTTCGAGTTTTGCTAGTTTCACAATATTTTGGTGAAGGATGAAAAAAACACAAAATGAAAGTGTGTATAAACATGGATGAATTGAATGGAGCACAACCAATGAATCAAACTCAGAGAATAGAAAAGGAAATCTTCAATATGGACACGTACGTAGTAAGAATTATCATACTTGCTAGGTCCTCAAAAATTACTACTAACATATAATTAACTCATTTCATTTCATGCTCTTATAATCAATCCTGTGGGTGGACGCCATCTGCAATTCATTGGCTAAACTTTATATGCCCACTCAACTCAACAAGCATAACGCCAGCCAGAAGTCTTCCTTTCCTTCCTTTGACAGCATGCCTCTTCTTTCCCCGTACACGTCTCGTCTCTTTAATGTGAGCAAGTGCTTGGAGGTTACACAAACTTACCAAAAACATTCATGTACTAATTATACAGGAGAAGGGGAGAGAAGAAAATCCGGTTGTGGTCTTTGCAACAATATCCCACAAAATGGACACAAAGGTTTTCTAGATTCCTCAGGAGTGAGAGATTCAGAAACATGATTGGAGTCTAATGGAGATTTCGGCATTGTAAAAAGAGCCGTATGTGCTAAAGACGAAGCATATCTATGACAACATATGCAAAACCAGGTAGGAGTGTTAGGGCAGACCATCATGGAAACGGCGCACCGTCGTAGTTTGTGGCTCTGCCCAACTCCATCATCAATTCTCTCTCCCTCACAAAATGCAACTTCTGTTGATTCAAATGGAACAGGTGCTGAACAGAAACTACATCTCTCTTCCGCTACATAATCGCATAAGGAGCGAAGTCTGCCACCGAGAAAAAATATAAGCAGTTAATCAAATCAGCAGGAGGTTATCCGAATGAAGCAAAAGACAGGAAATGTACACTTTAAGTAGTACAAGAAGCCCATCACCCAGCTTCATGAATAACAAATTATATCATTCTTGTTTATACCCAAATACTGATGGGAAATCTGTAGTTTGTTTATAAGGATAGGGAATCATATACATATGGTATATAACCTTTAAAACGTCTTAGGAAACACCTGTTGCTTACTAGCAAAAGGGGTTCAATTGACACCATGGCAACAAAACTAGGCAATAAACCATCTAGAATAAAATTTAAGGTGCAACCTGTGAATTAAAACAAAGGAATAGAATCTTTCCTTCTAAATCCATCACAAAAGAAAGCGTATTGAATGGCCCAAGACAAAAGATCCAAGCACTTAAAAAGAAATGACATAAAGGATTTAGCATGCAACTGAAATTTATACATGCCAAGATGGTGAAAGCAATAAGTAGAGTACCTCTTGTCAATCTTTCCAATTTTTTCTGCGAGAACTTTAACATGATAGCTTAATTTATCAGCATTAGATGCAACCCATTGCACCATCTGGCCTAGTCCAACAGCTGTCCAGCATCTAGATTTTGAAAACTCAGCGGTGGAATTCGAAACAATTCTCAAGATGGCCAAGAAGTTAAAACACACAAGCCTTTCTCGTAGTTCCTTTTCAATGTTGCACACCAGATTTAACCAAAAACTTTGGTGCGGTTCTGCACCATCAAATCCCTCGAAGTCCTGCAGTTTACTATTTATTTGCTCTGCCTTCAGTTCTTTAAGAAATACACACCTGCTAATGACATTGAGCATGTGCAACTGACGGGATGTGGTGTTTGATAGTAGTTTACATATTTTAGATGAGATTGAAGGTGAAACCTCAAATTCTGATCCAAAAAAGGTTCTCATCCATCTAATCAATATATGCTCCACATAAGGGGGTATAGACTGCCTGAAGGCCAAAAATGGAGCTACAACGTCCCAGATAACCAGTGGCTTATTCACATGCTCAAATTGATTGAATGACCAAAATACATTATTCTTCCAGCTCATTAGTTCTCTCTCAGGTAAACCTGTAAAAGCTTCAAGTTCAGGATCTGGATGTGTGTTCAATGTAAGGTCCAGCTGCTGTCCTCCAATCCAAAGGAACTCAATGGCACCTTTTAAAGTCCTGGGTGATTTTGCCAAACTATAAGCATCTCTAAAGCAAAATACTCGCAAACATGTAATGCTAGACAGGACCCTTGACTGAAACTTGTAACAGTCAGATTTTATTATTTCAAAGAAAATCTGGGTAAACATGAAAGAGGGAATGGGTCTCTCACTTGAAAATTTTGCTTTTACCATGCACACTAAGGTAGTAGAAACTTGTATACAGCTTCGGAATATTATTAAAAACCAACCTTGCCTCATACATCGGATCTAACAGATCAGTGTCAAAACTGTGGACCTGCAAAACCAGGTAATGCCTCACCAAGTTGATCAAAGGATAACTATGAACATATCTGAAACAAATCATCACATGGAAGCCAATTTGATTTAAATCCAAATGAATAGGAAAAAATAATAAGAAATCAGAAGCCACTGCAGAAGTACAGGTCAAAAGAATATAAGATCAATTACCTTGGGCCATACTTGATAAATAACACTAATAACTATTAAAGAGAGAGCTAAAGAGCATAGCTATTTCAACTATGAAAGAGATTCAAGGAGTAGCACACCTGGAATCCCTTAATCTCATGCTTTTTTCTGTGAACAGCACATTAAGCAAGACTTGAGGGTCTAAAGCAATTATGCTTGAAGTAGGCCATCTAGGGAAGAACATGGCGGGCTCTAATTAAAAAAATTAAGCCTAACATGCATGAAGGACATGGTGGTTCTAATGCTCAAGAAATGACCCAAATAGAAACGCCGAAACCAACATCAAGCAAAATGTATATCTTTCAATATTTTACAAATTTATATTGTTAATTCTCCTGAGGTTCAGCTGATTGCATCCATTTGTTTAGTCACAAGAAAATCACATGCGGGTGAAGCTTGATTCTAGTCATCTGATGTATAATGTAAATACAAAGTGCTAAGAGCGCATGCAGACCTACATACCCAAAAAAATAAAATAAAATAAAATAACAAAAAAGAGCCTAATAAGAACTTTAGAAAGGAAAAAGTGTCATACCGCGGCCATTGCTAAGTTTCCAGGGGATAATGCCAAACCAAAGCATGAATCATATACGTTTGGAACCTACAGGGACGTGAGCAGCTTTAAGTTTACCATTAAATTCGTATGTAAGAGAAACAATACATAAATAGCTTCATCATACATCAAATTGGCTCCTCACGCCAGTGGTATTTGAAGGAAGTGGTACTCCACTCAGGACATCGTCATGCAAAATCCAGCAGCGGACAGTGTCATCCTAACGTTATGAACAACAAATAACAGTAAATAAAACTATTGGCTTTCTATTTTAGGCAAAAAATTTGACTAATAATCTTTCATAAGTTCTACAATGGTAAACTCACGAGACAACATATTGTTAAATTTGGAAAAGGTGACTCAGATAAGGACCTATTGCAACCGAGTCCTATCCATTTTACACACCTGGCTGCAGCTATACAAACAATTTGTGCCAAAGGCCCAAGCTAAACCAGTAACCTGAAGTATGCCACAAGAGTTAGCTACCATAATTGGTGGAAGTGTTAAAAAATTCGCACAAACTTACTATATGCTCATGAGCATCAGGACAGCACGCTTTGTCAAAGTTGCTAGATTTTAATTCACCAATCCAAACTTCTAATGATCCAGATCCTCTGCCAATAGCTAAGAATAGTTTGCCTGTTGATTCTATGGGCACAGTAAATGAAATCACAGAGGCTGGGGAAGAGTCAATGGTTGAAATCTGGTCACATGACAAAATGGAGAAGAGCAAAGAGTATGCAGTCAAGTCCTTTTGAAAGCAGTCAAACAAATAAGTGAAAGTGTAACAAAATTTAAGAAAAATAACCTCCTTCAGCAGAGAAACTAGTACATCACTAACTTCTGACGACTTCAGCAGTTGATTGACATATGCCTGCCATACTTTCACACTACAAAAGAACAGATTGCGAAAAGATAATTTGAGGAACTCAGAAAACTAAAAGAACTCGATGAAACATTCAAGAAATGATATTCAGACACCAATAGATGTTACCCAATAGAAAATGTTTGCACACTACCCTTAGAGCTCTCTACTTTTAGTTAAAGAGGTGACTAGTTACGTGTTTGCAGACAAGGTATGTCGGCAGACCTTATAAGTTTCCTGGAAAAGAAAAAAACTAAATAATTCACCCAATAGCTGTAGAAAATCTGTACTGAGGCGGCCCCCTTATAGAACTTCTCATAAGCTTACTATAAGTGCAATATAGTGGCATGACCAGTTCATTGATGTACCTACTTACCACCCATTAGAACTACCAGTAGCCAGTAGAAGCTGAGGGTTTGAAGCATCTGAAATATGCAGCCAACTAAGTGCTGTTATCCAAGAATCGTGTGCCTGGAAAAGTCCAATGAGTGAAGCAGTTGTCAATTCCCTAGAGTTTGTGCTAGAGTAGCGCTGTGGTTGACATATCCTCCAGAGTGATATTCTACCAGATTTTGCTCCAACTGCAAGCACAGAGCAGTTGCTTAGGACATAATCAGCAGAAGCTTCTTCAACCCCTGCAGTCAAGATCATATCGGGGGACCAAGCCACAACAAGTGATGCCAGCATCGAATTGCGAGATGCAAATTGCTCTGCAGTTATTAGTGACAAATTACAATCTTCTGGGCCTTTTTTGGCATGCTTCCGTCTAGAATCAGGCACAGCAACAATGTCACGCACATTATTATTTTTCAGGTTGCCACGTGCATTCTCAACTACCTAATTACAGAAATAAACATCAGCAAAGCAGAAAAAACCAGTTTCCTGTACATACAGATCGGAAGTATGAGATTAAGCAACAAAATCAAATATAGTTAATGATCATCTCTTCCGTGAAATGTGAATTATCAGAAAATATATGGACAAAGAGAAGCGTAGAAGGCAATGACAAGTGTACATTACTGTCAATGCCTTTAAGATGGACACTTGCTGGGTATCTCCGCAACTTTGGTCCATCTGAGTGTCATTAATTTGCTCCTAAAAACAAAGCCAAGAAAAGGAGATCATGATCCTTAGATCCAACTAAACAACAAAGACAACCAAATTGTGGAGTCAGTAAGAGTGACATTTAGTTGGGAGAAGAAGTCCAAATAGCAGCGAATAGCAGAGTTTAACTGAAACTGCAGGATGGATAGGGAATCTAGAAAACCAAACCTCTACAATTCCAGATGATAAAACGTCTGATTCCTTAAAATTGACACTCGCAAGATAAGAGTGAAACATCTCAGAAATATCTGCAACCTAAACAAGTTCAGAGGAGCATTTACTTCAAAGATCCTGACGAGTTGACCATTAGAAGAGAACAGTGCATCGATAAGTTTCTCTATAAAAGTGATTGATGCTGATTTGCAGAAATAATACTTAAAAGCAGATGTGGAGTATCCCGGAATTTCATGCAGGCAATAAGATATATGCAGGGAAAGCTGTCAAAATAATTGTTTATCCCCTTTTGAGTATGACGAATGGATGAATGTATCTAAGAGGGTGACAATTGAAATGATTCTTCTATTTTAGATATGAATCTTTAATTCCAGTAAGCACACTAGTCCATTTTATAACAACATCTCTTAGACTTTCGTAGCAGAGCTGGTAATAGTTCAAAGCTAAATTTCCAGAGAGAAACTAGGTCCTCGAAACTGGTATGTTCTTGGACTTGAAGTGCACCCATACTAAGTAAAAAGCCACCTACAAGTTTGGTTGCTGCATTTTTACCTCTATCCACTCTGCTGAATACTCGCAGTAGGGCATACGATAAAGCTTCACATGTCCATCAGTGCTGCAAACAGCAAGCAAACAACTACACCGAGTAGAGCAAAAAAGACGCATTTAGTAAAAATAAAAACGAACCACATCATCCGTTAGAAGGGAGAAAAAATAAAATTTAAGAAGAAGAAGAAGAGAAAAGGCATATGTGAGATGCAAGAAAGAATAGTACCCTGCATTAGGAGCATATCCAATTGGAGACCAAGAGATTGACCGGACACAAGGACGAGCATCACGAGATAAACTAGTAGGTAAGATACAAGGAGCGAGGATATCTGCCAAAACAGCAATTGGAGAACCAAAACAATCAAGAAAAAATAGTCAGAAAATCCATCATCATTTCGCGAAACAAAAAATGTAAACTGGTGAAATTACAGATTTTTACAACACATAAATGGTGTCTAAAAATGGTGTAAACCTTGTGGATGAATCACTCCAATTGGAAAAGGCTTGTAAGCAGGCAATGTGATGAGGCCTCGTGGTGCAACTGGAGTTGCTGGATTCTGACAACAAAAACGAATCGAATCGAAGAAAGTAGTAGTAGCAGTAGCAGTAGTAGTTAAGGGGGGATGGAATAATAATAATGGGTATTAGGATTACCAGAATGGTAACAAGGTGGCCGGATGCAACTGCGATTAAGTTCTCCTCGGACCAAGCTACGGCGTTCGGGTAAGACGGCGACGCCACCAGCGCAGCCGCCTGGAACCTCTGCTGCGACATCGTTTTCTGGAAGGAAACAGAGTGGACAAAATAAACGAGGTGGAGGAGAATTAGAGAATCAGACGATCATGGTTTCCGTTGGAAGGAAGACAGCGAAAGTTGGAGGGAAAATCCTTTCATCTTTCTTGTGCGCGCGACGACGCGAGAAAGAAAGATAGATTACCCAGCCAGGGATCGAAACTGCCTAGCTGCGAGAATAAAATAGAATAGAATCACAGATTAGCTAGCAACCATTCTGCTCATTGGACTTTCTTTCACTTCTAGTCGTCAAGCGGCACCAGCCAGAAGAACCCTAGTTCGAAACTTGGACTCGTCCGTCTTCCTCTTGTTTTAATTTCTACTATTTGCTCTTACTCATCATTATCGTCTATGAGAAAAACACAAAAATAGTCCCTCACCGTTTGAGTTTTGCACCTTATTTTTTTCAGGAGTAAATCTTATACTTATACACACTGTCACGGTTGGATGTACGACACACATGCAAAATTTGAGTTTCAAATTCAAATTCAGATTATATATCATGCATTTAACGAGGAAAGTGTATACACATATAATGTCAGTGTAAAGAAAATTAACCCTTTTTTCAGTCCCTCAATTTTAAAATCATGCATTTCAAAGCTTCACATATAGGAAAATTTGTGTTGTGTTGTAGTTTCTTTACTTTTAAAATGGTGTACTTTGATCTTTTACATGTCCAAAATGCACATGAGACGAGATGACACTTTCTTATTCATTATCTTTGTGAGGGAAGCAACTTTCTAGCAAGTCTCCAAACACAAAATACCATAACTCAATATAGGGGCTTCACATCACATGCCAACGCCCAAGATCAGGATTAAAGGATTAAAGAGTACAAAAATACGAGGAGTATCTCAAGCCCTCCGGCATGACGCTACAATTTTTGACTTCAAGGTGCAATTTCATTTCATGCTATCAAAATGAAGCAAAGCTCCAGCCCTCACTCCCACCTCCAACAACTTACAACCGAGACAAAACTATGCATGCCTCTATACACTGGAAAAACTGGACCATCAAGATTTGACGGAGTAAACTTTGGTGAATCTCCAAGCGCCTGAATCCAGCTTTATGCAAGAGGACAAGGATGTTTCTTTCTCTGCAAAATTTGGTCCCAACTAGAAGGATGCTGGATAAGGACATTTACAAGTACAATACAATTGTCTAAAGTTCTGGTTCACCTGCAATGCAACAGATTCATTAGCATTAGCTTTCATAATTAAACCACGACCATCATAATACGGTCCATTTAGCCAAGGGAATCCTCTATTTATGTACAAGAGTGGAAGTGAAAAAGCAAGATAATGCCAAAGATGAGGTCTATACCATCATCATCATCGCTTATGTTAAAGTCGTCTTCGTCATCATCAAAATCAATGTTCTGCAACAATTTTCAGAGTTTTGGTGCATCTATACCAGATGCATGCATCTATGATATTTGCCGTGCTAACAGTTGATCCCACATCCCCCTCCACCCAGGCAGGGAACTGGGGGGGGGGGGGGTGAGTGCTAACAGTCTTGATTGTTACAAATACCAGATTATAATCACCATCATCACTATACTCCTCTTCTTCCTCTTCAACGTTTTCATCTTCTTCCTCCTCTTCATCCCCCTCCTCCTCATTTATTTCTTGACCCTATTGCATTTGAGGTGAATAGAAACAGAATTATCAAGACAACCGACTATGACAAGCGAAGAAAGCGAGTAGAAAGATACATTCATCTTCTCAAGAATCCTTACTTCTATTGTGCTACTGAATAAAGAAATCACTTTCTTTTACTTCTGCTGTTTGGTGTTTCAATCTTCTCTACTGAAAGAGAGAAAGCAGTGCTTAAAACAAGCAGTGGCACTCTTACCTGACACTTCTGCTCAAGCTTTTCAAAGACATCCAACTTCTGCATGTCTGCCACATGAAAATTACTCAGTATGAAACTTTAGACTCTACAAAAGGCAAGCAAAAGAGAGGCTTTACAGCCAGTTAAAGCCCTTGAAGCATCACTCCGGTGTTAACAATCTAGCACAGTCTGGTTCGTGGGAAACAAGTTTCAATATTTCTCAAGTCCTGGTTTTGGCGCCCGTACCCCCCCCCCACCAAAAAAAAAACAACATTTTAAACAGAAAAAACTATCCTAGGTACCAATTAGTCAATTACTGGTTCCCAGAACCAACCAGTGAAAAGTAAACAAGTATAATTAAGCTTCTTTTTGGTGCGTAAATAATTAAGATTACAGATATTGATGATTTGATCTTACAGAGTTTAACTCAAAACTTTTATTCAGAGAAAAAAATGACATGGGACCCCTAAGCCCACAGTAGTTGAAGAGATTTAATTCTCAATTCCGGTTTTTCTCAAGACAACCAATTATAAAAAATCTTCAGATAAGCTTAGATTTCAATTCAATTACTTTACAAGATGAAAGGCAAGTAAACGTAGAGATTGATTGATCACTGATTCAGATACGCTTTCTTTGTACCTTTCAAATGCTTACAATTCACTGCCCCACCACAAGACTTAACAGACTCAATCTATTTTCAATCAGCTCAGATTCATTCAATTGAAAAGAAATTTTTCACAACCAAGAAGGTGATCAAGCAGCTTACAAGAAAGGAAAAGTTAGGTAGACAAGACATATGATAAAAGGCAACAAATTCAGTTTTAGTTACTGGAAATAGTTCAAATTTCACTTGCTTGGCAGCATGAAAGCCACCACGACCAAAGCCATTATGTCCTCGCCCTCCAAATGCCATGTAACAAAATGTTCTTCTTTGCTTGCCTCCTAACAAAAAATAGGCCAGAAAGGTGCATCATTATCCCGTAAACCTGAGCAAAAATAGGGGCATATACAAGGTACTGATATATGTCGTTCTAACTTTTCTAAAAGGCAACAGGTGGAACAATGTGGTTAATTATAGCTATAAATACCAAAATTTGGTTTACAGAGCTTCTCAAAAAAGGTCAGGGCCAATCTTTTCCACCATTTTTTTCCGGCCCAGGGGTGGGGGTGGGGTGGGGGTCTCTTTTCTTTTGCTATTATTTAAGAAAATTTTCTTTGTTTGGGTAGAGTATTATTCCAAATAATTATTTGGAATAATTACTGTAGCACTTTTTGTGATGTGATGTACGTGAGATAAAAAGGTGGATTGGAAAATGTGTTTATGATGCAAACGAAAATTTTTTTTTGGAAAAATTTGCTATCCAAACAGAACATTTAACTGAAGAAATCGGTACTCCTATACATACAACTGCGGAAGACAAGTTTCATCTAAACCACCAAAGGAGTCCTACCCTCGAGAAATTCATATATCCAATCACGTGGTTGACGTTTATCTGCTGGTGGAAAAAAAAGAGTAGGAAATTAGAAAAGTTTAGTGAAGGTGATATCACTTCCATGACAGCAAGAAAAAACTGATGGGGAAGAAGGAATGCACATCTTTAGGCATGGTATGCTTTAAGCATTTCTTATCTGTTGCCAACAAATGTCCAATCAGCTATGGTTACACATCATTAGATATTATTCTCAATTTAGAGGCCGTTTAGTTAAGAGTTACTTGGTTGACCAGAGGGAGGGTACATATATCAATTTCTGTAATGTAAAGTCACACTTGTAGTCTACATGATTATGCTAATCTTACAGGCTCCATTAAAGATCAAGGAGAGTCCACCGTAAAATCCCCAAAAAATGAACTTTCCCTTTGCAAATACTCCTTACATAAGTTATAAGCATGTGAAAGAAAAAAAGTGATACTTTTCTGGTGCTACTTGTTCATTAGGCTTTAACTATTCTGCTGCCTCCGCCTAATGCAATCATCTAGCTATTGTTCCTCAGATTCTATATGTCCATCAATGGGCGCCATGCCTACTGATATTTTTCCTCATTCCAAATGAAACATATCCACTCTGATGGAAAAAAAGATGATCCCAAAACTCACCAAGTGAATTTTACACTAATGAAGTTGAGAGTCGATTAGGATGTTTTTCCTTATTTCTAATGAAACATATCCACTCTGATTGGAAAAAGGATGATCCCAAAACTCGTCCAGTGAATTTTACACTAACGAAGTTGAGAATCGATCAGGGTAGCCATATATTCATTGCACATAGGAAAAAGCCAACACGACAGCAAAAAATGTTGGAGACACAAAAGCTCTCTGATTTCATTATGTTTCACAAGCCTAAATTGATTTTTTTTTTATTGCATGAAATAAAAGTCTCTTAGCGCAAACACATTTCCATCTCCCAATCAGCTTATATGAACGCTGGAAACTGAAGGAAAATTCACCACTCCAAAAATGGGGAACAGAAAAATAAAAACCACTTCCCAAATTGCAAATGTACTTGTTTTTTTTTTTTCCAATCTGAACCTTAGGCATTCAATTCTAAACCTTTAATCCGGAAGCTAAATGTTAAATCAGCTCTAGCTCTAAGAATTAAAAACTCAACAAATTACGCTCATTCGATTTGAGGCTGAACAAGAAATTCCGTCTACATAGCCAATATTCCATGAGCGAACCTCGCTATCAAAAAGGAAAAGAAAAAAAAAGAATAATTCAACCCAAAAAGATGCTCGTGAAAGAAACCAATTTCCTTCTTTAAAAAGCTCTCGAATTTAATCAATATCCAGAATTTACCTGAAGTTCCGGTGTTTTGCAGGAACTCCGGCGAGTTTAAGAATTGGGGAATGAAAAAAAAACATACAGAGGTGGAGACTGGAACTTTCTAGCTATGGCTGGCCTCCAAAATTGGAACAGAGGAAGGAGGCGGCGGAGGAAGTGTTGGCGCTGCGGCGGAGAAAGAGCAAAGCCTGAGACTGAAACTGGGACAGGGAGTCTGGGAGTGTTCACGGAGAAATTAAAAAAATTCGTAAGCCGAGCCTCAGCAGAATTACGATTGTGCCACCAAAATTTTAGGCGAAATTCCAAAACTGTCCCCGAATTAGATATAAATATGCGGATTTCGACTGTTTAAATTGTCTATTCTTTCACTTTCCCTTTCTCCTTGTTGTGTTCAGACTAGACTCCCATTTTTATCCTGATCCTATTTCTACTAAATTTGTCCCCAGTCCCCAGGCACTTCTTCTTCTTCTTCTTCTTCTAGCTCCGTTTCTAGGGTTATGTTTTCACTAATAAATCTCGCGCCTTTCCTGTAATGAATTCCTGTCCCAGACGGTCTGGATGATACTACCATTGGATTGGACAGATTTGATTTGATTTGATTTGCCGATTGCTCCTCGGGAATTCCCCAATGTAATGTGAGAATTTCTTTTTCTGTAGATTTCGTTTTGTTTCAACAATTGAATTTTGGGCAATAATGGCGACTCAGTCTAACACGGGGTTTCACAACCACTACTACCACCCCCACCACCACCACCACCACCACCATGCACAAGCGATATCCTTTGAATCGGGCACTGGATTATCGGAGATTATTACTCCCCCTGTCCCCGGGAACTACTATAATCACCACCACCGTGCCAGCACCAGCAGCGCCTGCAGCCGCCATGGGATGCTCATAAATCCGAATATTGTAAATGTGAGTAACAACAGCCTCATGACGACGGCAGCTTCGCCGACAGCAGCTGGGAATATTGTGTATTCGGGGGCTCCTCCTCCTCCGGGTGGGGCAGGAGGAGGCGGAGCCGTTATTACCTCCTGCAGCAGCGGCAGCAATGATAATAGTCCCGGAAATTCGTTGGGGTCGCTTCTCCTGGATACCGTGCCTGGCCTCAAGCATGAAGCAGGCTTGGCTGTTGAGTGGTCTGTGGAGGAGCAGTACAAGCTCGAGGAAGGACTTGTCAAGTAGGTAGTCAGTTCCAGTCTTGATGCCACATTCTTACACAAGCGCACCCAACTATAGATGCAGTTTGTTTTCTTGGGCTTTTCCTTGTCACTCTTAGGTTTGATTGCTTTGGCGTTAGCATTTTGCAATTGTTTTGGTAGTTAAGTATTTCGCCCAGCATTTTTTTTTAAAGCTAGCCTGTAGCTATATAGTCCCCTGGGATGTTCTAGAATGAGGATTTTCAGCACAGATGACAAACCAATAAGCTGATGCAGTGCGGGTAGGCCTTATAGTTCTCAACTTCTATGCGTAGATGTATACATTAATGGAGAAATCAAGGCTGTGAATAAGACAGGACAAGATGAATGAGATCACTACAAATCTAGGATTGATATCTAGGCGCCTGGTATAGTTGAGGAACCTATTCTGGAAATTTGGCTTCCAAAGCCACTTCTGTTCCATGTACCTCTAACCTGCCTAAATGTTGGAAAAATTTGTCCTTTCTTTGTCATAACCTTTGTTTTTAGTTGTAATTAAAAAGATTTACATTTCTTGCCAGCTACTAACTTGACTACTAAAGTTTATTGCCCTACTCAACTTGGGAAACTAGTAGCAAAATCATGTTAACAGTTCTTGCTTGAGGCTATTACCTTTTAGTAGCAAATTTCATCAAGCAAGTACTCTTGGACTGGGCCATAGCTGGCAGAACTAAAATTATAGAGATTAAACCCAATCAATGAACCTTTCAAATAGGCATTTTGCATTCTGCTTTGGTTTTTTATAGTTTTTTAAACAACAGATGGAAGAGCGAGAATCAAATTTGATTCATTACAAAACCTTCACTTTTCATTAAAAATCAAGAAAAGATTTGGAATAGGGGCCATTTTTACAAATCCTCATGCTCGCTAGAATGAACTTAGTGATGGAGTCATTCTCATTAATACAAGGTATGAGTGCTGTGAAATTTCTAGTAACCCAAACATGTACAATTCTTATCACCAAAGTCCTTACCTAACTGACTTCTGGCCTTTCTCATTGTTATTTTTAAGATGCTAATCACATTGATTTTTTTTTTAATCCTTCATACAGTGTTGAATATCTCATGCATCAATTCCTCTTGGAATGAAGAGAGCTCCTTATCTTGCTTTACTTTGTTTCCCATGACCCCAAGGAGCCTTAACAAACCTTTTGCCCCTTCCTATGGTTCCTTGCTTTGCCTTTTCAAGGAGCATGGATATATAGTTTGTGTTTAAAGTTGCTCTCATACTCTGGAAAACTCTGAAGTTGTCAAGACCAATGTACAAGAGTATCTTTTAATTTTTTTTGTAAGACAACTTATTGCCACTAGAAACCTTTATATGAATTTTGTCAGCGCTTGAACTCTCAGTAACTATTTTGTTTCTGAATCTTTTTGCACTTAGTTCTAGAGATAACAGAAATGGACTCAGATCTCATATTAAAAAAAAAAGACTGAGAGAAAGAATTTTAACTTAAATCAAGACTATCACCTTTGGCTGAGTATAGATTGGCATGTAACTCAATCTGCCAAAATTAGATTTTTCTGAAAATACCTTTCTTGTATGACTAGCTTCTGGTCTTTCTGGAATCTTATGGCTACTTTCTTGCATCTCTACTTGAAATTCCAATTTTTGGTGGTTCATTTGTTGATCAAGCCATGGGTCAACCACTGAAGCTAATCTTTTTATTTTTTTTTAAATAGTGACTGCCTATACTACCTTCTTGTCACAGTTCACTTCAAGTACTTATGCCATCTGATGGTTAGCAGAATCTTTGGAGAAAGAATTAAACTTTGATTTATAGATGAAACTTTGATCTTAGGCAAAATATAGAAACAATCTTGAGTGGCTGTTTTTGAGAGCTTTCATGTTCTCAAAGTGTCAATTAAAAGTCCTCATCTTATTGAGTTTCATGTCCATTTTATCATTAATCTTGAGACTACATAGTCTGAGTTTCTTATCCTTTTTATCCTTCTCACCTAGCTGGAACTTGTCCCATATTGAGTTTGAGCTTCCTATAATGCCCTTTGAACTCAAATCCTGAAACGTTCTTGATAAAGACGCATTTTAGTGGTCATCTAAGTTAGGCCCATATTTATCTATGCATAAACTAACACTAGGGAAGTGGCAAGAAAATGAAAATCACTTTGATCCATGATCAAAGTTTGGCTTTTAGGCTAAACCAATAGAAAAGCTTGATAAAGGGGCAGTAACAGTGCACACCCTTAGTAGTTCTAGTAGAAAAAATAATAAGAAACAATTGTTTTATTAGATGTCAAAAACTCCATTACACATTCTAAACCTGAACACTTATAGATATAAATATATGAGATAGGATCTAATGTAATTCAAATCTCTAACTAATCCTAAGCATCCTAATCTAATGGTTTCCTTTTTCTTGCTAAGACAATGGAAGTCAACCTTATTGTACTAATTTTAGAAAATTCATCCTGCATCACAAACTGCATAAGTATCTGACACAATGTGCTTAGATATGCAGTAAATGAAGTGCCTAGTTGTTTTCAGGGTATTTTGACTTGGGCACCATTTAGATTGAAGGAAAGGAATGGAGAGGACTCTAGTGAAGAAAGGAAAGGAAAGTAGATGAAAGTGGAGTCCATCTATCTTGTTTGGATTAAATATGGAAGGAAATGAAAGGAAACACTAAAGATATTGTTTGAATTAGGAAAGGAAAAGAAAGGAAAAATATCACGTACTATTTACGATTTGGCCCATAATTTAACAAAGTCCAATATGTAAACATATTTTAGGACACTCTCATCAAAATCTAGTTAAAAATGATTGACATGTTTTAATTTGCTTTTTTCGGGAGAAGAAATTATAAAAAGTTAAAAATATAAAAAGAAATTTTATAAATGATAGAAAATATTCATAAAATAATTAATATTTGAAAATTTTCGGATATTACTAAAGAAAAAGAAATTAGAGCTTAGGTGGTAAGGTGGTGTGGAGAGTGTATGAAAGATATATTACTAGCTACTTTCAAAAGTTAGTCATCTGCTGCAAAGTATGAAACTATTGATTAGGGTTGGCAATTTATAGGGAACCAGGTTCTACTTGGATTGATTACACATTCTTGCCCGTTTAGTACCTTTAATAGGCTGTTGGCAAAGCATTTATGAGGTGCTGAGCTTGACCTTTCTGGGACTTTATGTGGGTAAATAAAATGTCTACTCTAAAACCTGTAAGTTAAGAAAATTAGTGGTGATGTTTGTTTAAAAGTGGCCATGTAATTTGAAAAATAGAAATGATGTTTTGGAGGTGTTAAAATAAAATATGAGCTTGAAGTTTTGTTCAATCCAAACAATTTTATTTTCATTTTTGAAAAAGTGTGTTGATTATTTGTTTTTTGAATATTGTGATTTCATCAAATAATTGCATCCCCCCCCCCTCTTTTTTTCTCCTGTTCTATGCTGTTACAATTTTTTTTTTTTAAGATTAGCAACTTTAGATATGATAACCATTTTCTTGGGAAATATGCAGATTTGCTGATGAGCCTAGTATAATGAAGTATATTAAGATTGCAGCTGTGCTTGGAGACAAAACCGTACGGGATGTTGCTTTGAGATGTAGGTGGATGATGGTGAGCTACTCAGTTCTTGCAGTTACTTCTGGCAATTAACAATCAAAGGGCAAACACGTGAAATTTAGTGGAATTGATTGGCCGATTATTATTTGTACTTTTCTTAGTTATACCCAGCATGATAAAATGACAAGTCTACATATTTAAAAGGAAATGCTTATATTAATATTATTTGGCAGAGAAAACGAAGAAAACAGGAAGACCATAATCTTGGGAAGAAAGTCAAAGATAGGAGGGTATGCTTGTCTGCACCTTATCTATTATCTAAATGTTGAATTGTGTAATGCAGTGAAACACTTTGATGTTGAGCCAGGGTGACCTATTTCCCATACTAAGACCTAGCATTAAGTTACCAAAGAACAATTTAGATTCCTGGAATGCATTATGGCAGTGAAAATTATGAAGTGCTCCTGCATTGAGATCTTAGGGATTTCTA